CCTCCCCCCCCCCTTTACCCCTTTCTCATTTCACGGCTGCTCCACGAGTCACAGCCACAGTGTTGCGGGGGTCAGGAACGGGCCTACTGCTGTGTACACTTCCAAGTAGGTATTCCCTATCTCTTGTAGCGCCTATCTGCTGGGCGTGACATCAGCGATATCGATTATGATCAGCGTAGACTGGGGATGGGGAAGGAGAGAGCACTGTTAACGCCGTGGTCGCGTAGCTTGCCAAAATGTTGGCAGTCCTTTTTGATTGACAAATTTTGGTCGTCTTTTGGAGGCTGCCAATTTTTGGCCTTCCTGCTTGCCAAAAGTTGGCCTTCTTTCAAAAGGAAGCCAAAATTTGGCAATCAAAAAGGTGATTTTGCTCAAAGTCCTTCCAAAATATAAGCTTGCTACTATCTTGACTGCAATCCACCCACCGCACTAAACACACAATAGAGTCCACGACATTATACACACTGGTTGTCACCTGGAAATGGACACTTTACAATGCTAAATACGAGGTGGTCTGCGCCCCTGCGCCCGCACGACGGCCTCTTCGCGTCTTGTAGAGGCCCAAGCAGGGTTCGTCCCTTTGCAAATTGCAAATTCCAAAGAAACAGAAATCATACTCGAGTCTTCATTTTTGGACCCCGGTCCACACACAAGAACGAAACCAGTTCTGATCCTACGTTGGTCTTTCTTTATATGCATATCTTTGTGAAATGCTTTCTCATCCCTACTCACGACAAGACCTTGTTAATCCGAATAAGACACGTGTATCGATTAGATATGAGATTTTGGAAAAAAATCCTTGTAAATCAATGTCATATCACCGTTTAACACGTTTCATGCGACATGACCACTACGTGTTATATCATTGGGACCAAAAATGAGCTGCAGGGAACGTGTTAAATAAATACACCCGTGTGCGATAGTTCTCGTCTATCGGTTGTGCGCTCTGGCGCCACCGCAAGGAGCGTCTCCGAAAATCGACAGCAGAGGAGTTCGTTGACGGTCGACATTCGCCCCCCCCCCCCAACCGTCTTTCACTTTTCCCCTTTCGCCTACTCTTGTACTCTTCCCCTGGCCATCTCTTTCTAATCGGCCCATCCCAGGCCGCCAGGCAGGTAGGCGATAGGCGTCACAATCTAAATCTTCTTGTCATTGACGAGGGCGACGAGGGAACCATCCCCGAACCCGACAGCACTATGCTGCATATGAGGCGCAGGGTGGAAATCTGGAGAGCGCAGGGTGCGCGATTGTGGGTGAAGCGCCCTCCCCCTCCTGACATTTCGGCCACCCGCTTCTCCCGCCTTCAGCTTGCATGACTTGGAAATCGGACCAGGAGGGTGATCAGAGAGCTTTTCGCTTTGTTCGACTTACGTGCCGATCTTGAGCACAGTTCCCAAATTTTTTCGGCGAGGTCTACCATCACTCTCCTGGTGGTATACACGACTGTGATGACAGCAGTGCCCCCCCCCCCCCTATCTTGGCTCAAGCGGCAAGAATTTATCTACAGGAGATCCAGTAGGCTGGCTAAACTATCACTTTGCTCTGCTCTCGGCTTTCGGGTGAATCACATCCGCATAGTTGGGTGCTGATGTTATTATCTCCACCCAACTGTAATTAGGAGGGGACTTGATGCAGCTTTACACGATGCGCCAGCAGCCCCAGCTCGTCCTCGTCGCGGGGCGTCTGATTTGGCCGCTTGGAAGAAGGTCGAGGAAATGCTGCCGCGGCAGGGAGCAAGAGCCGACGAAGCCCCCCCTCCGCCCCCCTCCTCCTCCTTGCATGCTCATGTGTCCCCCCAAGCCGACCAATCGGAGAGCGAGAGGGACACTTTTCCTCATAGGAGCTGCTGACACGCGTCTCATCAGCAGCAGTGGCGTATTGGTGGCGTGCATCGTGCATCTCTCTGGGCGCCGTCTTCACTACGTGCTTGTTTGTCTGTTTTAAACGCGGCGTGAACATGCCACGGAGGTGGGTCGGGTCTTTCGAAGGGCGCACAGTGTCCACCTGATACCTATGTACTATCATGGAGACTATGAATAATAACTGACAGGGTGGCTGACACATCCCTTCTGGGGCGTATTGAGGTCCGACTGGCATAGGGGGGGGGGGGGGGGGGGTGATATGACTTCACTCTATCGTTTCAGGAGAAAGACAACTACCTTTCAATGGTTTCCAATGTTCTTTCTTTTTATTACAAAAGAAACAGTTTTACATATATTACAAAATTTATGGACGCAATATGCGTGGCATTATGTTACAAGATGTACAAAAAAACAAACGAAGAAAGTATGTAACAAAAAGAGACCCACGCAGTTGTAGGGCATTTATATGCAGTTAAAGTCTTTCAATAAATAAATAAAGCGGTTTCGGGCAATACTGTAAGCCGATGGTAAACTTGATAACATTTTTAACATACCCCGGCATTAATTTCATTTCCATACAAAATTTTGCGGGGTCGAATTAGAATAAATTTACCAAGCTGCTAAGAAGAATAATTGTAACAATCTTAGAACTAGATAATCAATTAAATTACACCTAAAACACAGGGAAAACAATCACAGCAAGGGAAATCATAATGGGGACTGCTATGCAGTCTTTATTGGGCAGTCTTTAACTATGAGTCAGCGGCCGGCCATGCGGATGGCCAGCGGTAGAGTATAAGAATATGCGAGACAGCTCTCACAATAATTTATTTGGTCTTCCCTTCGTAGCGGAAGGCATGTCGGCGAGACTCTTTTGACAGATTCTTTGCGCCTTAAATAAATGGGGAACTCGTCTGAAGCGTTGAGCCAAACATGCTTATGCTCTTAAACGCGCAAAGCTTGATCCAAATGTCCAGCAAATGGTAAAGCTCGGGCATGGCCGCAGCTCAGGGGTCCCTCCGCGGCAGCCCGCTGTAGCCCGCCTTGCCCTTTCCCCTGCCGCCGCCGCTGCCGCTGCTGCTGCCGCCACTGCCGTACCGCCGGCTGCAGCTGCTGCTGCCGCTGCTCGTGTAGTCGCAGGGCTCCTGGCGTAGCACGGCCATGGGCGCCGCGTGGTGCTGGACCTGGTGGTGGGGCTCGTCGACGGCGTCCTCTGGCGGCGAGGCGCCCTGGGAGCCACCGCCCTGGGTGCTGCAGCTGCCGCTGCGCGAGCTGGATGGACTAGAGCGGAGCAGCAGCTGCAGCTGCGAAGACTGGTGACCGGACGGGGGCAGCCCCTTGGCGTGCACGGAGCGGTTGAGCTGAAACAGAACGTCGTGGTCACACAGATGCTTGCGTTGACAGACACATAAAATAAATAAACGGAATCGATATCGATTCGAAATTCTGCCCGATTTAAGTGGCAAAATCTCGTCGATTCGACACAAGTTCGACTTTTGGATCGCTGGTTTTCTGCCTGGGTCGCTTTCGCATCTCCTCACCTGCCGCCTGAGGAGCTTGAGCCTCCTGTTCTCCCTGGCGAGGGTTCCGGCATCGCCAGCAGCGCCGGGGTTCGAACCTGCCAGAGCGCCCCGCGCCTGCAGGCTGAGCGCCGCACCGCGGTGGTCCAGCGGGGAGGGGCTGCCTGTACGAGCCAACGAAAAAGGAGGAAAATGAGGACACTTTCAGGAAGAAATGAGGACATTTTCAGGAGCCAAGCGGGACGCACCTGGGTGCGAGCAGTGCGCCGAGTAGTTGTAGTTGTCGTAGTGGCCGGGGCCGCCGGAGCCGCCGGAGCCGCCGCCGGGGGACCGCGGACTGCACATGAGACCAGCACGGCTGTCCGGGTCGGAGTACGAAGCGCAGGGGTACCGCTCGTTCTCCTGGCTCCAGCTCTGAAGGGAGGGAGGAAAAATAAGGACGTGATGAAACACCGCACCAAGTTTATCTCTGCAACTCTCCTAAGGCACGATTTCATTGTTTTCTGTTCAAATCCATTTGGCGTGTGTTGTCGACCCCGTACCGTGGAGCTGGACGAGCAGGGCGCCGTAGTGCGCGCGCTGCAGACTAGAGTGGTGGTGGCGTACGGGGCGGCGCCCGGCCCGTACCCGCTGCTGCCGGTGTCCGTGCGGTGCGTCCCGAGTTGGGAGCTGTGCTGGGAGCCGTGCTGCGAGCCGTGCTGGGAGCCGTGCTGGGAGCCGTGCTGGGAGCCACCCAGCGGGCACGATGACTGGAAGGTGCTCAACAGGTGGGGGTTGCGGACCTCCGCGTAGTACGACTTGCTACTAGTAGAACCTGTCGGGAGGGAGACGGCGAGTTGGAGAAAACGTCACTTAGGATGATCGAAACTTCCACCTTTGAACCCTCGAAGGTTTGGTTTGGTTCAGTCTTTAGTAGTGTCTGTGCGTCTCACCCTGCGACATGCCGGGGTCGTACTGCGCGTCGTTGGCCTCGGCGTACTCGGGCAGCATGAGGTCCTCGATGCGGCCCTGGTGGGGGTGCCCCGGGTGCCCGGCGGCCACGTACTTGGCGCCGTACGTGTCCTGGGGCACGAGGCACCGCGGCGGCGACAGCGGCGCCGATAGCGGGTGCGGCATGCCCTCCGAGGCCTTGAGCGTCAGCGGCGTGGTCAGCACCGGACCACCCGACCCGCAGTCTAAAAGGAAAAACAGAGAGGTCCAACGTCAGCGCTGGCTCGTGTCGCGAGGCCGGGGCGACGACGACGGGACGACACGGCGGCGGCGGCGGCGTGTCGCCACATTTTTGTGAGACAAACTAGACCGCGTTACTCATCGCAGGGAATACACCTGCCCGTTGCACGAGCAAACCATCTGTGACCTTGCCTGTTTTAGTCACTGTAGTACAGGTACTGCTATACGAGCGCCCTGGCACCTGGGGGATAGGCCACGGGGTACGCGCGTGGCGCACGGCTGCTGGGCGGGTGGCCCGCCTCGCCCCCGCCTCGCCCCCGCCTCCTCCCCAACGCCTCGGCCGGCTTGGCGCACTCACCGTAGAAGCCGAGGAAGGTCTCCTTGTTGGCGCGGTGCTGGCGGCGGTGCAGGAAGATGATGGCAGAGAAGAGGAGCACCATGACGGCCACCATGCTGCCCAGCAGCGCCATGAACCACGTCTCCGTCAGCAGCTGGCCGCCGTCCGCCGCGGTGTCCGCGGCGCCGTCCCTGGAACAGTCGGTGAGTCCAGTTTATAATACAATATTCTCTCTTTCGCTACATTTCTAACGGGTTGGCCGGGGCGGGGTCAGGGGGGGTCAGGGGGAAAGGGGGAAGAGGAGGGGGAGAGATCAGGGCGTTAGCGTTGCGGCGGGCCGCGACTATCCGGCCAAGAGGACTCCCCCGGCGGGGAAGCCCAGAAGGGAATACAGCCGCTCGGCCTTGGCCGCCGCACCCGCTGCCAGGAGAGCGTTACTGAAGGCTGTCAAACACTCGAGAACACAGAAGGTTTGCTTTCGGCCGCACACTGATCGATGGTTGCATCATCTTCGAAGCTGGTCGGATGATTGGATTGGGGCGTGATCGGTTGATCGGGAAATGATCGGGAAATGATCGGATGATCGGACACTACTCGGCAGTACACGATAGATAGTGCAGCAGCACGCTTTCCCCTACCTGTGGTGCTGCCCCACGGGGGCGGCCGGCCGCACGGTGATGGGCGCGCTGAAGGGCCCCAGCCCCGCCGCCGTGGCCGCCGCCACGCTCACGTGGTACGCGCTGGACAGGTTGGACAGCAGCAGCTGCAGCGCGCCGTCCTCGGACAGCGTGGACAGCGTCACGTTGCTCACGAGCTCCTCGCCGGCCTGCACCAGCACCTGGTAGCTCTGCAGCGGGCCGTTCTGGTGGGACGCGGGCGGCGGCGACCACTTGACCAGCGCCGTGCTGCCGTTGATGAGCGTGGCCTCGAGGCGGGTCGGCGGCGCGGAGGGCGCGCCGGGCAGCGTCCTCACCCTCGCCGAGTTGGACGGCCGCCCTTCGCCCTGCTGGTTGAAGGGCACGAGGAAGAAGTGGTAGGCAGTGAAGCTGTGCAGCCCCGTCACCAGAAAGCCGAGGCCGGGGCCGCCCGCCTGCGTCTGCACCGTCAGCGACTGCAGCGCCACGTCCTCGCCGGCCTGTGCCGCCGCGGACTCGGCATGGTTGTCCGTCTCGGCCGTCGCGGCCTCCGACCACCAGTAGATGCTCAGGCCCTCCATCTGGTCCGGGTCCAGCACGTCCCAAAGCACCTTCACGGACGTCGGCGAGGCGACCACCACCTCCGTCAGCCGCACAACGGGGGCGTGGTCTAGTGCGTCCTGGAAGAGTAGGAGGAGGACGTCAGCACAAGGGCAAGGGCAAAACAGTCCAAGGAAACATGAAATCGGAGGCACCCACCTGCACGTCGGCTAGGTCCTCCTCCGGCGTGGCGCCAGCGTCGTCCCCTCGCACAACCCACCGCCCGTCCTCGTCGCGGACCACGGGCCCCGCCACGTCCGAGGGCGGCGAGAGTCCATGCGAGTTGTAAGCGCGCACCAGGAACACGTAAGCGTCGTCGTCGGAAGGCGGCACGAAGGTGTGCGTCGTGGAGGTGGCGGGCACCCGGGTCAACGTGCCCCAGGCGGGCAGGTCGTCGCGGTGCTCACCGCCGGGCCGGGCCAGCACCTCCAGCTGGTAGCCCAGCAGGGTCGACGACCCCACCTTGGTGGTGCGCTGCCAGGACAGGCTGACGGCGTGGTCGCTGCCGTTGGCGCGGAGCTGGCCGGGCGGCCCCGGCAGCGATGCCGCCTCCGGGGCGCGGTGCTGGGTGGCGCCATCCGGGGACACGCGCAGCCAGCCCCGCCAGCGGTAGCGGCCGCTGCGGGACGACGCCACGCACGCGTACTCGCCCGCGTCGCTCTCCCGCAGGTCTGCAACAGCAAAGGGGGCGGTCAGTACGAGTCAGCGCCCGCGTGGCAGGCAACCCATCGTGCTGGCGCGGCCACGAGGTGGCGAGCTCTCAAGGCGCGCCGGCCGGGAGGGGAGGAGGCTCACCGTGGATGCGGAGCGCGCCAGAGTCGTCCACGTGGATCCTGGGCGCCGTCACGGGCGTGGGGCCGGGCGCGGGCAGCAGCTGGCCGTCCTTGTGCCAGGCGATGGAGGTGCCCGCGAGCGGGCGGCGTCCGTGGGCGGTGCGACAGGGCATGACGGCCGTGGCGTGCGCCGCCAGGGTCTGGTTGGACGGACCCACCTCGATGACGGGCGGCGGCCACTGCTCGCCGGCCAGCACCAGCAGGCGGGTGCGGCTCACCGCCGCGCCGGCCGCGTTCACCGCCGCGCACACCAGCACGCGGCCCGAGTCGGCGGGCGTCACGGCCTCCAGGGTGAGCACGGCCGCGGCGACAGCGCGCTCGCCCTGGCGCTCCCTGCCCACCGACAGCCGGTCCAGGCGCTGGCCGGGCAGGAGCGCCGTCCGGTTGCCGCGCAGCGCCCAGGTGACGAGGGGCGCGGGCACGCCGGCCGCCGCGCAGCGCAGGGTGGCCGTGGCGCCCGTCTCCAGGCGCAGCAGCCGCGGCGGCGACAGACTGAGCGTGGGCTCGGCTACGGAAGCAACGGGCAAGGGGTTAAGACTTTAATTTTCCAAAACACGTGAATGAGCTGAAAACGTCCAGTCTTAATATGGGAAATCATCTCAAAAATATGTTGAGTGTAGGTCTTTTCAGGTTCAGGTACATCAATTACCGGTTAAATGAACTAAATGAACTGAGTGAAATTTTGCTATCTAACAGGGGTGGAGTGGCAGCGGCGTGGCACACAGGGTTCTACTTACATACGACGGAGAGCGTGAGGTTGGTGGTCACGGAGCCCGCGCGGTTTTCGGCCTCGCAGACGTACTGGCCGGCGTCTGACAGGCGCACGCCGGTGATCCTCAGCGAGCGATCGGGCAGCACCGTCACGCGGCCCTTGGGCATTTCCAGGCTGCCGTTGGGGCCGCGGCCCCGCCGCCAGAGCAGGTCGGGCTCCGGGTCCGCGGCCACCTCACAGCGCAGCACCACGGAGGAGCCCACCAGGGCCGTGGCGTCCGAAGGTCGGCGCACCAGCCGGGGCGGGACTAAAAACAAAACGAAACCGAGAACCACTTAGTGAGCTCCTGGACAAAAATGGGGCGGGGAGGGCCGAACACCCGATGTACTCACCCCCGACCTCCACGACGGCGACGGATGACTCCCGGGTGGACGCCACGTTGCTGGCGACGCACTGGTAGTGGCCCGAGTCGGCGGGCCGGGCGTCCCTGATGGCCAGGTTGCTGCCGTCCACGAGGCGCAGGCGGGAGCGCTTGTCCTCGAGGTCCAGCCGGCGGCCGTCCTTCCTCCAGACGACGGTGGGCTCCGGCCGGCCCCGCGGCGGCCCGCACTGCAGCACCAGCGAGTCGCCCGTCGTCACCAGCTGGCTCTCCGGCACGGCGCGAAACTCGTGCCGCAAGTCTGCAGGAAATGATTGACAAAGAGAAACAGAGTTAGTAAAGAGATACAGGCTCTCGTTGAAACGTCTAGTGAACCGCGTGCTCCCTCCCGCTTCAGCCAGGTGGCCGCGCTCCACAGCAGCTCGCTGCATCCCTCGCAGACACATTTGTCATCTCTCTCCCTCCCAGCCGTGAGGGATCGCCCCGGGATTAGCAGCTTGTCGTCCCTCTCTAGCTCGGGCACGGCGCGGGTGTCCGCCTGCTATCCAGATGCCAGTAACTCACGGCGGCGTGAGGCAGTGCCGGTGCGAGGCTTGGCCCCCCATCAAGTAGTGCGCACCCCCCACCCCCAACGCCACCCCCATCCGGCACACAGACACAACGCGCACACAATAACATAACTCTCCGCCCCGCACGGCTACTGCACCGTGTGCACTGTCCCATACGCCGTGTCCATAAAACAACAGACGACGACTCGGAATCAAATCCTCGACTAAACGCACCTGCTCATCATAGTGACCTCCGAGATATTACAGAGGGGTGGGAGTGGGTCTTTCGCTACGCTTTCTGACCCCCATCCCTCCTCCCCCCGGGGTGGTGAAGGACGGCGTGTTGATCAGGCGCGCGACGCCCGGGACGCCGCCGGGATGACAGACGTCGCGGCGCCGCGCGCCCGAATCACGTGGGGATCAGCCGGAGAAATATGACGAACGTGACTCGGGGAGGGTTGCGCCGCGGTGGTGGTGTCGGTGGTGAGGGGGCTGCGGGGGTGGTGAGGGGGGCTGCTTCACATATTGGAAAGCAAAGCTACCGCCTATAGCTTCGTTGTTGCGAGTTATTCGAGTCTGCTCCTGCTCCTCCCTCTCCCTCCAACCTTGCGGTCTACACGCGGATCTCTCTGTCTCACCCAAACCAAGGCCGTCCCCCCAAAACGGGATCACACACAAAGTACGACCGTCACTCGCCGTTACCTACGAACCAGCCTGAGATCAGCCACTTGCAAGAGCTTTCGTAGCGCCTGGCGGGTAGGCAACATCTTGCCTCCAGTGCATGCATGTGCCGCAGGGTGGCCTACCCTGAGTCTCGCAGGCGCCGAGCTCCCACAACTTAACGAACGCTACTGTAGATAGCGAGGAGGGTGAGTGCAGAGGGGGGAGGGGGAGACTTTGCCTTCTGGTAGAGACAGTCTTGAGGGGACTGTCTGTACTTCCCGTCCGGACGATGTCAAAACCCTGCAACGCCAAAAGACCTGTAGTTAACGCCGTCCCACAGAGTCCCCCTAGACGACGGTGGTGCTGTGCTGTGTCCCCCGACGATGGACCGACGGCGGCGGCCCCGGCGGCCCCGGCAACAGCCATCGCCAAGCGGCGTCGCGACGCCCCTTCATAACCCGCGCCGCCGCTTTATTCGCCGCCGCGACGCCGGCATTCCTAGACGGCCATCCACCGCCGCACTGACCAGCGCCCCGCCCCGCCCCGCCCCGCCACGCCACGCCACGCCGGGCACGTCCGCGACCACGTCTGGTCTGGGCTGGTCAACTTTTTGAACTTACGGCGCGGACGCGCGGCGGGCCGCTCGTTCGAGGCGCACGCTGCCGTCGTCGCTCCCCTGCTGCAGGGACACGCAGGACCGCCGCCGGGCAGCCCCCGGTTATTATTTCCAACCCCAACCAACCGGACGGCGGGCGCCCGATAAACTCCAACCCTTAAACCCCACCGCACCGCCGGTGGTTGGTATGAGATGCACGCGAGGGCATTCTTCCTTTCTCCTTCTCCTTGTCGAATGTCTCGCTTGGCTCCCACCCTGCGGCTTCAGCAGCCCGAATTAGCGGACCCTTTAGCACCCCGCCGCGCTCGGCTGCGCTCGGCTGCGCTCGGCTGCGAGCAGCGCGCGCGGGGGGCGGGCGGGCAGTCGCCGCTTTTGCAAGTCCTCACTTCAGCCTCTCCGCACGCCGTAAAGCAACACCGCAGCGCATAGCACAGCAGAGAGGGATAAGAAAGTTACTCTCGCGCGGCGCGAGGTCCGCTCGCCTCGCGGGGTGGTGGTGGTGGTCGCGGAGGGTAGCTGCTCTCCTCGTGTCATCCCTTTTCCTTTCATCGCCCTCGTCGTAAAGACGTTCACGACTGTCCCTCCGCGCCGGCGTCGGCGGCGGCGCGAAGTGCATCGCCGCATGCCGCGTATGCAATAAGCGGCCGAGTATGCACCGCATGCGCGTCACTCGCCAGCACGTGACCGCGGAGCAGTTGGTGGCCGGATCGGTCGTGGGTGGGGGGCACTTGAATTCAAGAGTTAACTCACGGCAGCGGCTTGAGCTTGCAGTTTTATTATTTTTATTCGTGAACCTACGACGCGGTCCAGGGCGCCCCCTCGTGAAACGACCTGCGCGGTGACACCTTTTTCATATTTCACCCGCTTCCCCCGTCCCTCCCCCACCCTCCCCACACTTCCTTGTTCGTAGCGCACAGTGCCGCTGCTGCGCCGTCGCTGTGTGAAGGGCCCCCGGAGCCTGGAGGGCTGCAGCAGTGCCGCTGGAGAGCAGAGCGGGACAAAGGATCCTCCCCTCCCCTCTCGGGGGATGAAAAGTGGAGGAAAAGAAAGTAACGGAAAATGTGGCAGGCCGCACGAGGTGAAGTGGCCGCGGCCAGCGCCCGCGCGGAGGCCGGGTGGGCGGCCCGAGCGACGCGCGCGTCGGGCGGCCGGCCTACGCGGGGGCCGCAGGCGCTGAGGCAGGCCGCAGCGCGCGGCGCGTCAAGTGGAGGTGGTAACTACACTGTTATTTCAAAGGCGTCCCGTCAGAGTGCGACAAAGGTGTAGGCTACAGAAACCAGTGCGACTTAAGTCGCAGTCGGGGCATACACCTTTGTCGCACTGCCACCATACACCTTTGAATGCATAATATGCCGGACAGCCCCTAAGCCCCTGCCAAGCCCCCTGGGCAGGTGTTTGGCCTCCATACACCTTGTGCTGGGTAAAATAGCACGTGGTTTGAGGGAGCTGTGAACCGTGGGCTCCAGGCCCATGAAGTGCGCTCCCAAGGTGTATGCAGGCCAAGCACCCGCTCAGGGGGCTTAGGGGCTGTCCGCCATTTTCTGCATACAAAGGTGTATGGTGGCAGTGCGACAAAGGTGTATGCCCCGACTGCGACTTAAGTCGCACTGGTTTCTGTAGCCTACACCTTTGTCGCACTCTGACGGGACGCCTTTGAAATAACAGTGTACTCACAGGCGACCTCCAGGGTGGCGTTCTTGGACACGGCCTGACCCGCCTCACTGGCGGCGACGCAGCGGTAGACGCCCGCGTCGCTGGCCTCGACGCTCAGGAAGAAGAGGTTGCCGCCGGGCAGCAGGACGCGGTTGGCCGCGCCGGCCGGCAGCTCCTCGCCGTCCTTGGTCCAGGACACGGCCGGCGTCGGCGCGCCCTCCGCCCGGCAGCTCAGCGTGGCCGGGTCCTTGCGCGGCACGACCTGCGACACGGGGTGCTCCGTGATGCGTGGCGCGCGCGCCTCCTCGCCGACGGCGCCTGCAACAAGAGAGAGAGAAAGATGGTGGTTATTGACTTTCGCAAACTTCCATGCGGTGACGCCGTCAAATTCCTGAGCGAATGAAATAAACAGCAAAGAATTTCACAGCACGGCCAGAAGCGTCCCCCAGAGAGGCGGCGGCGAGTTCGTCATCAAAAGGGGCACGTTGACTCGTCGACAGCCGCGTCGTCTGTCTGCTGCAGCGCCGCCCCCTCCCCCTCCCCCCTCTCCGCAAGGACGAGGGCCTCGGTGGGGACGTACGGCCAGGAGCGTGCACGAGTGGCAGGTTTTCGCGAGTGGAGGACCTACGCTGCAGCGACTGCGGGAGCGGCGTGGGGAGGCTGCGCGGGGGGTGGCGCCACCAGTCCGTCCTCAGAGGGCGGTGGTGGTAGCATTGGATCGTAAATAGGAGGCGGACCCAAAGGCACGTACCTCCAATCTCATGTCCGTGAGAGCGCCCGCTAGCGAGCGAGCCGACTTGACTCGACTAGAGTTGAGAGATAGAACCCGTTCACAGATGGGTAAGGTAGCGCGTAAAATAACAGATAATCACCTCTGGCTAGCTTGGATTTTAGAGGGCTGATTATTTCGCATGAAGAAGAAAGGGACGCTTTTTTCTCGGACAGCCTTTGCCACGAGTAAGGTTCCGGCGGGTTCCGGTTGAGGCCGAGGCAACATAGTTACTGCTGCACAGGGGGAGAGTTAAGAGGGGAAGGCGGGCAGCGCCATAACGTGCAGAGTCTGTTGCAAAGGGGCAGCCGAGGCCCCCCGGGGGATGAGAGTCATCTAACCCCCTTCCCCCGCCTCTGACGCCCCTGACCGTTGCCGTCTATTGTCACGGTTGTCTTTCCGCCTTTGTCGCCTTGACAATGCCGCTGACTGTGGGAGTGTCCAGGTTGTCACATGCTGCTGCGCTGTCGTCGGGATCAGCCCTGCCCCCTTTTTTGCCGTCCAAGGACGACGACGGCGCTACTGCTGGTGAATGTCTCAGAGGGATAGAGACAGGCAGAGAGGAAGAGTGAGAGAGCGAGAAAGAGAGAGAGAGGAGAGAAAGAGAGAGGGAGAGACAGACAGAGGCAGAGAGACACTGGTGTATTGGTGCCGTCTCTATTACATTTCGGTGGCAGACTCGGTCCGGGACAGGCTGGACCAAGGCTGCTGGAGCGACTGAAGGCGCAGCCGGGAAGGCCTACCGCATTTCAGCGCCCAGCCCCGCCCGGTTAGTGAATTAATCCAGATTTAATTAGGGTAAGAGCTGCCGGTCGGCCGGTCGGCCTGGTCGGTCGTACGGGCGGCGGCGGCGGGGCCCGAAGGGGTGGAAGGTGGTGGAGGGTGTCGGCTTCGGCGGCGGCGGCGGCGGGGCTCTGCGGCGACGAGGTGATTGCCAAGAGCTTGATGAGAAGGCCCCATCGCCCGCCCGCTCGCAGCGCTCGGCAGCGCAACGCCTTTATGTCATTTTGTACAAATTAAACAGCCGCGGAGAGTGGACTAACTTCATTAATGAATAGCAACAAAGGTAAAAGTCTACGACACACACACACACTTATGTCGGTGGTGGTAGTGGTGGTGGTGGTTTGGAGGTGACGACGGCGGCGGTCAGCCCAGCCCCAGTCCCGCCGCGGCGTCCGTCGGGGCGGAAGCGGTTCGTCTCGCGGATTAACGCGGTGCTTGGGCGTCGCTCGGGCGGACACAACTGTCGGGGTGGACCGTCCCGGGAGCTCACCCCGCCCCGTTACTTACCGCTGAGCAAACAGTGCAGTGCAGAGCACGGCAGGTCGGGGGGCCTACGCACCGCGCGCCGCACTCGAGTGTCACAGAGACGAGCACTCACTGTCCGCGCGAATAAATTGGCTCGAATAATGCGGCGGGAATTGGTCGCATCTGTCCATCGACCCGCGCGCCACGCCCGAGATGGGTCGACGGCGACGACAACTTGCATTAAATCCAAACGCGCCCCGCAAGTGGTGTACGATGACAAATTTAGCGCATATCGTTTTGTTTTCTTTGACTCTTTCGCTCCCCACTCTCTCACCCCTAAATGCGCACATACACTCACTACAGGCAGGAGTTGATCAAAGGGAACGTCCAGAAGTACGTCCGTTCTTCTCAGAATTATTCGACAAATCACAGAGGAGCTCGGTGCCTGCGGGACTCAAGGTAGGCCACCCCGCAGTACACGCAGGCACTTCAGAAAAGGTGTTGCCTACCGATCAGGCGCTTTGAATGCTTGCATAGGCTAAACTTTGCACTAGTATCGGCGAATGACGAGCGTACTTTCTGGAAGCCAGGTGCGTGTAATCCATCAGTTTACCACATCAGGCATTTGTGACCGTTTTAAAAATTTAGTATCTTTTTTTTATTATTATTTTGGCCGTACCAGCAAGTTGGTAGTCTCTGTTAGTCCCCCTCTACGCGCCTCTCGCTGGATTATTCCTTGGCACCAACGAGTAGGAGGCTGGGCTCCTCAGCTCTCTCTCTCTCTC